TTATCCCCATCTCGGGGTCCTCGGGTTCTGCCTCAGGGGGCTCGCTTTCTGGCTCCCCAAGGGCGGGCTCTTCGGAAGGGTCCTGGGCAGGAGGCTCCAGGGACAGAGCGGGGGCTTGCTCCACGGGGTCCCACGGACTCAGGTCATCCCTCTGGCTGCTGCAGCGGCTGTGGCACCCCCGCCGCCCATCGGGCTCAGCCTGCAGGGTGGGCAGGAGGTCCTCCTCTCGGGCGGACCCCTCCTCTTCCTCTGCACGGCTCCAGGAGCAGCTGCAGGGGCTGGCAAGAGGGACGGCCCCGTGGAAGAGGCGGTCGGGAATAGGCGTCCTCTGGGCTCCCGGGGAGGGCACCACATGCAAGATCTTGGGCTTGGCACAGAAGGTGGCGGTGGCAATCTCCACCAGCATCTGCACACACCCCTCTCGCTGAGCCTCCCCCCTCAGCCGGTCGCAGAAGACCCGCAGGCACTCGTGGAGCCAGAGGCGCACGATCAGCCGCACGCTGAGGAGGGTGGTGGGGCCGGTCCCTACGGCCAGCCTGCCGGGGACCGACGCGCGCCGGGGGGCCACTCGGAAGCCCCCGTGCTCGTCCAGAGGGCTGGTGAGGTGGATGCCTGGGCGGGGCCGCAAGAGCAGCAAGCCCCGGATCACCTTCTGGATGTCGTGCAGGGAGAAGTGGAAAAGGCCGCAGGCGGGCGAGGGCTGGAACTGCCTCCTCACGGCCTCGTAGGCCTCCACGGTGGCCCGGATCAGGGCCGAGGCCAAGTCACTGTGGCGGGTCAGTAGCGGGAACTTCTCCAGCCAGGCCAGGATCGTCCCCGTGTACATGCTGAGCAAGGAGTTCCTGGTCACGGCTGGCAACACGACTGGGCTGAACAGTCTGCCGAAGCGAGGGCAAAGGGGCCGGGCCCCGCTCACCGGCACAGAGAGCGTGCCCAAGCAGTTGAAGCCGGGGGCTGGGCAGGGTTGCAGCTCCAGGGTTTCTGGGTGGTAGAACTGCTGGTGGGTCAGAGCCTGGCGTAAGGCCTCGACCACAGGGCTGGCTTCTCGGACTGGGTCTGAAACAAGCGGGGAAGGAAAGGGGGCAGGGTGGTGAGAGCTGCCCCAGCAGCAGCACGCCCAGCCCTCTGCCCGGAGCACAGCCTGGCCGGCCCTCGAGGGCAGGACCCCGAGGGGCCACGGCATAGCTGGTGGCCTCCACTCACCCACAAAGGCCATGTGCAGATCCTCCACCAAGAACAGGCAGCGTCCTTTGCTGGCCGGGCCCCGGGCAGGCTTGCCCACAGGGAAAAGGCCCTTGTCCCGCACCCCTCCCAGGGACCGCCGGAGCAGGAGGTGCCGCAGGTGAGACGCACGGAAAGCTGGTGTGAGGAGCACCCGGTGGTAGAAGAAGTTGGGCTGCACCAGCGCCTCAGCAAAGGACGACTTTCCACAACCAGGCTCTCCAACCAGGAGAACAGGTTGATCCGAGGCCAGCAAGAGGTCCACCGTAAAAAGCACCCGCTCGTACTGCAAAGGGAAATGTCCCCGAGAGACTTGACAGGCACACAGGCAGGCATGATGCGGGGCTGGCCTGCCAGCTGCTCTCTTGCTTTGAGAGGGGAGCACACACATATCCCCGCCCCGGGGTTCAAACCTACCTGCGGCAGGACTGAGAAGCTGACAGGGATGCCCTTGACACGGCCAGGCAGATATTGCCCACGGAAGGGGACCAAAGCACCATCTTCCAATTGCGGGTAGAGGTTGAACACTGATGTCGCAGAAGGAAGCGGCACGGAGAGGGGACTGCCACGCAGGGCCCGCCGGGCAAAGCAGTCAAAGAGAGGCCAGTGCCTTCAGAGAAAAAGTGGGAGAAACAAGGGCCCCGACTGGAGGGATGGAAGGAAGGAAGGAAGGACGGAAAAGAGGGAGGGAAGCCAGCCCAGGGCTTCTGAAACAGCCTGCTATATTTTGAGGTTGCCTGCCTGGTGTCTGCCTCCACGGAACGTGCTGGAGGCTGGAGGCCCACTGCCGGGCCCCCCACTGCGACTATAGCCTTACCTGGGGTGGAGATGGCTTCCAAAGCCCCCAACGTAAGCGAAGACAAAGATGCTCTGGACGAGGTGGTGGTGGTGGGCAGGGACACTGTCATCGAGGCTACGGGGGCCCGAGGCCGCGTGGGTGGCCTTGGCCTCTGGAGGAGAAAGGCCAGAGGTAGGAGCACGGAGGTGCCACTAGTAGCACAGCACCCTCCCTGGCAGGGCCAAGGCCCGGGAAGGGAAGGAGCCCTCCATCCACAGGCACAGCCCCCACGGGAGGGTCAGCTGCAAGGCAAGGGGGGCTCTATGCCCCCAAAGGACCGGCCTTGCCCCTCCACTCCGTCATCTCAGGCTCACCTGTCACCTCCTGTTGGGCAGGCAGGTGCCTGATCTTGTCCCGGCGCAGGTAGTGCTCCAGCAGCGCATGGAGTAATCGGCTGAAGGTCATGGTCTCCTGGACCCCCTGAGCCACGGGGCTCTGGGGGTGGGCGTGGGGGAGCAGCACGGAGCAGCAGCGCTCCTGCAGGAAGGCCAGCGTGGCGGGAAAGAGCGCCTCCGCCAGGTCGCGCAGCAGGGCCAGGCTCTCCTGGGTCAGGCTGTACCTGCGGTACACGGGGGCAAGGGCCGAAGACAGCAGGGCCTGCCAGAGGGCGGAGCCCCCGCAGTGCAGGATGGCACAGTGGGTGAAGACCGAGGGGGGCATCCCCGAGGCATCCGGCATCTCAAAGAGGAACTTCACGTGCTGCGGGATTGGCAGCCTCTGCCCGCTGGGCAAGCTGAGGGAGGGCCGGGGACCGAACAGGGAGGCGACGGGTTCCAGCCACTCGGCACAGGCGCTGCCATCCATCACCAGCCACTGCTGAGGGACCCCTTCGCCTGCCCCGCCTGCCAGGGCGGAGGCGGCGGCCCTCTGGAGGACCCGGGTGAGCACCCCGTCCTGCCAAACGCTGCCCTCCAGGCTGCCCATCAACTCAGTGGCACTCAAGCCGTTGGGCCACAAGCAGGTGGTGCTGATGGGCTGGAAGAGGGGGCTCCGCGGCCCACTGGGGGTCGGCGCCCCGGCGGCGGCGGCGGCCTCGGAGGCTGCCAGCCTGCTCTGTGCCTTGGCCAGGGTGCGCCAGGTGGTGGTTTTGGCGCTGCCGGAAGGCCCCAGGAGGAGGACGCCGGGGGCACCCCTCTGCAGGAGGTGCGCCAGCAGAGCAGCCCCCCTCAGCAGCTCGAGGTCCGGGTGCAGCTTGTCTTCCTGCAGCTGGGCCACCAGGGCCCCGTGGAGCCGCGGGGGGGCCGGGGGCTCCGACGGCTGCAAGGAGGCGCTGGGGAAGACCTCTCGCAGCAGCTCCCGCACTTTCTGCAGCCGGGGGCACTCGGGGCCGCTCAGCAGGGGCGAGAACGACAGGGCCTTGGCCATGGAGGGCTCTTCCTCCAGGCCCAAGAAAAAGGCGGTCCGAGTCGACGGCTTGGCCTTGGCCGGGAGAAGGTCTCGCCCCCCGGCGGCCGGGCGGGCAAGCAGAATGCCAACCGCTGTCCGGATCACCTCTCGGACCAGAGAGGGCCGGCTGAGCGGGGGGACGCGGTGGAGCTCCCCCTCCAAGCGCAGGAAGGCACACAGCTTCCCAGCCAGGCGCGTGGCCTCCCGGAAGCCCGCTGCCAGCAGGGCGACCTCGGCCAGCCTGGCGAGGTCAGGGGGCAGCAGCGCCAAGGGGCGGACAGCCAGGCGCAGGGGCTCCGGGAGGTGCCCCATGGTGACGACGCAGCCGTAGGTCTCACGCACTCGCAGCAGGCGCCCCCCAAAGAGGATGTTGCCCAGGACCCGTGGCTGGTACGGCTCGCTCTCATCCACGCCCAGCTCTGGCCAGGCCCCCACCAGCTCCCCCTCACCCCCTTCAGAGCTCTCCGAACCCACCGACTCTGGGCTGGCCGTGGAGGGCTGGGCTGAGAAGACGCCGGGGGGTGCCCCCCGGCCCCCCTGCAGGCCGAGGCACATCCGCTGCAGGTCAACCAGGCGCTGGCTGAAGGCTGAGAGCACGCCGGGCTCCAGGCGCTCGGCCGACTCCAGCAGCAGGAGGGCCCCAGCGTGCACAGCCCCGCAGAGGTGCCGGGCCAGGCAGCTCACGGGCATCTGCAGGGTGCAGTGCAGTGTCACCAGCTGGCGCCCCAGGGCGTAAGCCAGGCCCTGCACCGTGTGGGACTTGCCCGAGTCAGGGTGGCCAAGCAGGCCCCCGCAGCGGAACTCGTCGAGGGCCAGCAGCAGCCCCAGGAAGGTCCGGTCCAAGGCGGGACTGCCGAGGAGGCGCAGGCCGGGCCCCAGGTACTCGTAGTCGTAGGGCAGGCGGCTGTCGAGGACCTCGGCCCAGCAGCCGGGAGGACTGCCCACCCAGGCAGAGCCCAGAGAGAGCCCCGCGGCCCGGGCCCGCTCCGGACTCAGGGCCACACGGTACTTGAGGAGCCGCGCCCACTCAAAGGCCTGCGGGGAGCTCACCTTGCACGCCAGCAGCTGGGAGAGGGCATCCCGCTGGTGGAGGGTCAGGATGATCAGCCCCCCCAGCAACAGGCCCAGCTGGTCACTCGCTGGGTCCCAGGCCTGGGTGCCACGGTAGCTGCGGAGGGAATGGGCCAGGGCCTCCAGCTTCAAGCTCAGTTTCAGCTGGAGCCGCGGCTGGCTGCCCGGGTCAGCGAGGGCCTCCTCGGCAGCCCCACGCCAGACGGCCTCCTCGGCCAGCAGGACGCACTGCGCGGGGAAGGTACTGCCCAGGGTCGCCCAGGACTCCGCGACGAGGTGAAGGGGCAGCTCCGTGGGGCCAGGGGGCCGCTCAAAGGCCTGGTCCAGCTGCGGCCGCAGGGCCAGGCGCTGGGCTACACACCCCTGCACCAGGTGGAAGAGGGACTCCTTCATGCGCTGTTCCAGGGTGAAGAGCCACTGAGTTGCCTTCCGGCTGAGGGAGACCGCCGAGCACAGCTTCAGGACCTCCCCGTGTTCTCCCACCAAGCTGGCCACTTGCGCCACTGGCAGCTGGGCTGAGAATGTGCCACGGTCCTCTGTGGCAGAGGGCACAATCATTTGGAGTTGGCGCACACCCGGGAAGCAGCGCTGGGACCAGGTGGACGCATCAGCTGGTTCTGAAGCCGTGGCCACCATGGCTACCAACTCCTCATTACTTAGGAAGAAGAGGCGGGGAAAGGCCATGCGGGTAGCCTCGAGCACGTAGTCCAGCGCACGGATGATGACCTGCAGGTCTCCAGACCCTTCCAGAAACGTAGCTTGCAAGGTGGCCCCGACAAAACGGCCATCCCGGCACGATCCGGCCGCTGGCTTCACGCAGGAGAGCACCAGAGGGTCATTGCAAGTCACCTGCATGAATTCCCGGAAAAGGCTGTCCACTCCCTGAAAGCGTGAATCCTGCACGGAGGGGGAGATGGGACAAGAGGAGGTTGCAGGAGGGGGCTCCCCTTGGGACTCCACGTGGCCTTGACCGACCCCCCCCCCCGGAGGGGCAATCGCCCCCTCTAGGTACCTGGAGGGACACCTTCCCAGCTGCTGGGAAAGGGAAGCAGCGGTGGACGGGGACTTACCAGCTCCGCACTGGGGAGAGAAATGTCCATCTCATAGAGAACAATATTCAAGAAAACCCATTTTTTTTGGAAACTGACCCAGGCGTCCAGGAGGGAATCTGGGAAGCCATGGAAACAAAGAGGAAGGGACAAAGAGGGGAGAAGGAGCAGGGCTTGCAAAGGGACACGTTGGTTCTTTCATGGTTGCTGGTCCCCAAACCTTCTTCCTCCTCTTTGCCAAAGGAGCCCAGGCCGGTGGCCCACCCGTCCCCTCCACAGATGCGGGCGGGAGCCGCCACCCCCCATCCCTAGGCCACCGCTGCCATCGCCGCCACCGCCTTCTCACCAAAGGCACGCAGCGTGGAAGCCCAGCTCTCCGCCTCCTCCAGGATGTCAGACGAGAAAGGGGACAAGATCATGTTCTGGAGGGTTAAAATGCTGTGTTCCACAGCAGCCTTCAGTTCCGCCGTGTCTGAAGCAAGAGGAGAGAAAAGGGATTCTCAGATAAAAGGAGGACAGCATCCCAGTTCATCAGCACAGCTTGGCTACCCATCTGTCCATCAATCCGTGTGTGTGTGTGTAAATGCTCACTCCCCTCCCCCCCGAAGCCCTATGCCTGGGACTGCAAATGGCAGAGAGCGCCTACAGCATCCACGAGTGTCTGGGGCTGAGCTGCTCTTGGACGGGCCCCGAGTGTCCAAGAGCAGCATGCAAAACAAGGCGTCGCCCTCCCACTGAATCGCTGCAGGCTGGAGCCCCAGTTCAGGAACTGCCAATCCCCAAATGAAACAGCTGCTTAAGCTTTCTGGAGGGGTGGCTGCCCCACCAAAGCAAAGCAAAGCAGAGCAGAGCAGAGCCGAGCAGAGCAGGCCCCGTGAAGCAGCCACAAGGGCTGCCTCTAGAGAGAGACTCCCCGAGGGGCTTCCCAAATAGCCCAGGCCTATTCCTGCCCTCCGTGGAGCTCTCACCGGACAAGACATAAGTGCCACTGTCTTTGGAGATGTACTCCAGCTTGGCAGGGCGCTGTCGCCCACTGCCCAGGCGCCGGAAACGCTCCGGCTGCGGTTCCTGGTAGGGCACGTTGAGGATGAAATTGACGAGGCGTAGCTGCTTCTTGGCCCAAGTCCTCTCCAGGTGGTGGAGGGTGTCCCTCGCGTAATGCCGGCTCTTCTCAGAAGCATAGACCTGTAGAGTAGCAAAAGGGATCACTGCCCTGCAGGAGGAACCAGGCCCCACACTGGGGCCCCCGACTTCCCTCTAGCCCGTCCGAGGCCCATCAGCACTGAAAGGCAGGGCATCTTTTGCCATCTCACAGCTACGAGGTTTTTACTAGTCCACCAACCACGCACTCACCCGAAAGATGGCATCGCTGTGCTCCAGCAGTGGGTAGGAAAGAAGCTGGCCCAGCGTGAACTGCATGTTCAGGGGGCACTTGACGCCCATCACTGGAAGAGAGCAGACCACCTCGGCCACCTTAGCCTCATCCAAGCCTGCTGCCTGCCAGTTCCCATGTCTTCTGTACCTGTTAGCATCCTCTTGGGGCCATTCCCCTCCTCCACCCCCACTATCGTTCATACTGGGAGGCCTTGGTCCTCTGGTTTCTTCCAGCGATGATGGGAGGATCCCTGTCAGTCCCTCCCCAAGGCTTCAGGGCAAGAAATCTCTGGTCTGTGGGGGTCTCCAGCCCCCCACCCCCACCCTCGAGGGATGGGGAAAGGCCAAAGGACCACCTGAACTCCAGGATCGATCAGGGCCTCCTCACCAGCAAAGATCTCCTTCCAGCAGCTAGCCCTGAGGAATTGGCTGCCAAGTTTCAGTAGCAAGGGAAGGTACTTTTGGAAGTTGCCGATGGCACGCAAGCAAGCTTGCAGGATGGGGTGATTGCTAGGCACGGAGTGCTCAAGGCTGATCACTTCCTTCTGCCAGTCCTCTGTCTTCTCCAAGGCCAGGCTGGTGCTGAACTGCACAGAAGAGGAAGGGAGGCGAGCAGGGGGTGCCCCAGCATGAAAGGTGGAGGAGAGCCCGGGAGGGGAGCCCAGGCTTGGAAAAGCCCGGTGATGCCATGGAGGGACATGGCTGTCACCAGAGTGAAAGAGAGAGACACACGAGGCCAGGCACACCCTCGGTTGGGGACTCCCAACATGAAAGTGTGCTAGAAGGGCCTAAGAGGGGGCTCCCCTTAGGAGGAAGGGGGACGCTCAGCCCAGTCTCTCTGGGGGGTGTGTGTGTGTCTCCTTACCTTGACAAAGGCTAGGCACTTCCACTCCGTGATCTGCTCCGAGATGACTCGGAAAAGCTGCCAGATGCGGGCCTGGATCTCAATGACCCCTTGCTGTCCAGTGATAAAGGAGATGTCCATGCACTCCCCTGAGAAGGCAGGAAAAGGGCCACGGGGTTCACGTGTGGCCTGGCGGCATGGGGAGGGCAGGTTTCCCTCATCGGTGTGGTGGCAGTGGGGACTCGGTCCCTGCTGCAGCCGGGCCGTCCCAGTTCCCCACCTGTCAGGATCCGCTGGGAGCGGCAGAAGTCGGCCGCACGCACCACTGTGGCCTGGAAGCGCTGGAAGACTGCACGCAGCTCCTCCTCTATGGCCCGGGGGTTCTGGGCCGGGTCTTGGAATCGGCCCATGGTGACCGCAGAGAGCATCTCCTGCAGGTCCCGGGCCGCCTTCTGAAGCGAGCTGCTCAGCTCCGCAATGATGCTGAGGCGCCGCGAAACGATGAAGTCTGAAACCTCCCGCTGCTGATACACGAAGGCATCCCAGGTGTCCAGGAGCTGCGGCCGGAGAGCCCGAGAGGATCAGGAGGGGAGGCCTCGTAGCCCCAGGCTCAGAGGGGCGGCGGCGGTGGCCGCACAACTGCCTGCAAGGCAGCCCTTCCTTAGCCGCTAGGATGGGGCCACCGGGGGGGGGGCAGCCGCAGCCGCCAGGGTAGCAGAGCAAGGACCTTCTTTTGCGCTGCATGCAGAATGACATCCCCCATCCCCGCCCCCCCCCCAAGCACTGGGGCAACTTCTAATGTGTGGCAAACATGGAAAAGAGAGAAGCTGGAAGCCTGTCAAGGCCTTGCGTTGCGCTCCACTCGCCCTGAGGGGGGAAAGCGAGTAGCGCGCGCACACACACACACACAGAGTCAGAGTATTGATCTAAATACTAGAGAATATTGTCGCTTTAAGAAGAGTTATGACATGACTGACATGTGCAGTGGATCTCTGCTGAGTTAGCAAGACTGCATCAACCCTGTGGATATAAAAGGAGCAAAGAACCCTGCTCCTGTGGGTGGAGCTCAAGGTTCTGAACCTTATGCTGTCCATTTGCTGTCTGGAATGCTGTAAAGAAGCCACTGTAAATATATTCCTGGAACTACAACTAAAAGCCTTCGCTGCAAAAGACAATGATTTGGCTGTGAGTGGTAGTGTTGTAATCCCTCAGAGCAAAAACTTTCACTGTGTCTTTTTCACTGCTGTCTGGAGAAGAGAAAGTGTAATTTTTCTTTCCGACTTAAAAGTTATTTATTGCGCACACATCCTGACACACACACACATCCTGAGAAGAGGCAGCATCCCCTACCCAAACCCCAGCGAGCCTCAGAAAAGCCCCTGGGAGGCCGCTGTTTTCGGCCATGATGGTCCCTCCTGGCTGCAAGGTGTTCCCACTGGCCTCTGGGCACCACCACTCACCCTGGACAGGGAGAGATATTGGGGGGGGGTTTCCCTTCCACAGTCCAGGGCAGAACAGCTGGAAGCAACCCCTTGCGTGCAATGGGAGCAGGTGGTGGTGGTGGTTTGTAGCTGAGATCTGTACCTGGGAAGCGACCCTTCTTCCCTTTCCTTGTCAAACGTTCCAGGGCAACCTCACGCAAAGGAGCGGGCCTGTTGCCTTGCCAGAAAGCATGCCCAGAAGAACCTTATCATTTTCTTTCTTTCCCCGAGAGGCCCCCCTCCCTCTTCCCCTCCTGACTCCAACAAGGTCCACCCGGCCCCAGAGGGCACCCTTCCCACCTCACCAGGTTCTCCAGGGCCTCTTCCTTAGGGCTCAGTGGGCGGAAGCACTGCTGGATGACCTCATTTAGGGCCCGCACATAGTCCACATACTCCTGCAGCTCCGTCATCTGCCCCTGGTACTGCTCCAGCTGTGGACAAACAAGCACACCCATCAGCTGTGCCCCGACGGCCGCTCCTCAGGGTACTGAGCCAGGGAAAACCGCTCGCGGCGTTCCCGGCAGCCGGCAGGACCTGCCCCCCCCCGCCTGCCTCCCTGCCAGTCTCTGGGGCTGGCCTGCCTTAGGGGGCCAGTGTCAGCCCTGCATAAAACCAGAATTTCCTGACACAATGTGGACGGCAGGATGATCAGGCGATTGGAAATCAGGCCCTACGAGGAAAGCCTGAGAAGAGTGGGCATGGTTAGTTTTGAGGAAAGGAGACCGAGGGGGGCGTGGGAAGAGGACAGGACTTTTCAAAGGCTTGAGAGATAGTCCTACAAAGGAGGGCCAGGAGGACCTCTTCTCAACCATCCCAGAGGGCAGGACACGTCGCCATGGATTCAAGTGACAGGAAGCCAGATTTCAGTGGAATATCAGGAAAACCTTCCTAACTGTTAGAGCAGGACGACAGTAAGGCCAGTGACCTCGAGAAATGCTGAGCACTCCAGCGCTGGAGTCATTCAAGAGAAAGGTGGACCACCATCTTTCAGATCTCCTTTGATTTGGATTCCTGCCCTGAGCGGTGGGTGGACTCAATTGCCTCAGAGGCCCCTCCCAACTCCATGATTCTAGGATTCTACTCACTAGGCTGTAGTGCCCTTCATGGCAGCACCAGGCCTGGGAGCCATGGCTACCGACACGTCAGCCTCTGCAATGGCCTGAAACGCCTGCAGCATCTCCCCCCTCCTGCTTGAGGAGGCCACGTGTGGCTCTTGCTGGAAGAGAAGGGGTGGCAGGTTGAGGCCCATCTGCCCTGGTCTCAGCTTGCACACAGGAAGACATACCAGTCATTCTGGACAGCGCTGACCAGATCCTCCCAGAGGAGTCAGAGAGAGAGGGATGCCTCTGGGGAGGAAGACGACAACCAGGTTTTTCCCCATTACTCCTTCCTAGGAAGTGGTGGCCCAGGAAGAAAGGCAGTCCAACAAGAAGGGAGCAACTGGTTTAAGCAGAGGGTGCTTTTGGGAAGGGGCTGTTTTTTGCATAGGGGAGAGGACTTGCACCTTGCAGGGCTTGGCAAGGAGACCCTTCTTGCCAACCTGGTCCAGAAGGCTTTCAGTGGAATTCTACTGGGGGAGTGAGATGGTCTTCCAGAAGGCAGGCAGACACCAAGGACTTGGCACATAGCAGCCAGTGATACACCAGAAACTAGACTGGTGCAGGAGAACAGATCAGTGGAAGTGAAAATGACAAGGACGGAGCTGGAGGGAACGCTTCATTTTTTCATTTCATTCATTTCAAATGTCTCAAAAAAGTGGTCAAAGCACAAAAATCAAACTGAAATTAGAATACTTGAAGAATATTTTGATTAAAAGCCTTCCATTTCAGAAAATGAAGTGAAGGCAGCTCACCATGCAGGTGGAAGAAAGGCTGCTCACTGTGCAGGTGGAAGAAATAAATAACTTGAAACAGATGGGACATAACAGAAACATTTGAAGTTATAGCTAACTTGAAACAGATGGGACATAACAGAACCATTTGAAGTTATAGCAGCTAAATCTATCAAAATCCTAACAAGAATGAATCAACACATAGACAAGGAAACAATGGCCCATAGGCTGGAAATGTTCCAGTCCCAAGGAAATGGAGAGGCAGAAGAGTGCAGTAAGCACCTTCTGGAAGTGACAGTGATCAACAAGGCAGGTAAACAGTCTGTTGGGCCATATATTCTCAGCAGAGTTCGCATTCCAACAACAACAACAACAACAACAACAACAACAACAACAACAACAACAGGGGAGCTGAAGTCTTCCCTTAGGATTGTAGCACATCTCCCCTTCAGACGTCTGACAGTCTGATCTCTAAGGGCAGCAGAAGAGTGTTCCCTTGCACAAGGAAGAGGGGAGCAAAGCTTAAGTGGTGGTCTTGTGCATGGCATGAGATTGGGTGAAACATTCCTGAAAGAGCATTTCATCCATTAAAAAGAGAAGAGTGATTCTGGCCAATGCAATTCAGCCGTGGCAAGCCGGGCCATGGCTCTCTGCCCTCCTCCGGAGAAGGTGGGGAGGGGGAGCGGACGGAGGCCTACCTTTTGGAGAGGGGAAGAGATTACGCTTGTAAATGTGTATGCACCTAATGAGCGACAAGAAGAATTTTTAGAAAATATATTGGGAAAGTTAGATAAATTGAGAAAAGGGTCAGTAATATTAGCAGGAGATTTCAATATGGTAATGGACTTGGCAAAAGATAAATCAAAGCTGCAGACTGGGGAAAGGAAATCTAAAACTACAGGTTTTAATAGATTAATAAGTAGAACTGATTTGAAAGATGTATGGAGAGAGTTAAAAGGGGATGAAAGAAGATTTTCTTTCAGCTCACAGGTGCACAACACATATTCAAGGATAGATTATATATTTGTGTCTAATGACTTGCTTCCTAGAGTAAATGAAACAGTTATTGATGTTATACAAATTTCAGACCACGCCAGAGTGAAAATGGAGTTGATGATTAAATGTGATTATAAAGTGGCAAATAGGTGGAAAATGGATACGAGTATATTTAGAAATCCAAACCTAATTGAAAAATTTCAAAAGGATCTATATGAAACATGGGAAATAAATGAGAAAGGGGGAAGTCAAACTAAGGTAATATGGGATGCAATGAAATCTGTGGCAAGAGGGTATGCATGTAAAATGTCATACATGATAAAGAAAAAACAGGGGGAAAGAATACAGGAATTAGAAGATAATATAAAGGAATTAGAAAAGATAGTTATAAAAACTAGGGATAAAAAAGCAATAATAGAATTACAAGCAAAGAGAAAGGAACTGGAAGGAATTCATTTAGAAAAGGTACAAAGAAATTTAATATATTTAAAAAGAAATTATTTTGAATTTAGTAATAAGAATTCTAAATTATTAGCTAATGCGTCTTCTAAAAAAAAGAATAAAAGTAATATAGGAGTAATACAAGATATGAAGGGGGAAAGATGTAATAAAACAAAGGAGAAGCTTGAAGCTTTTCAAATGTTTTATAAAACTTTATATAGCAGTAAAAATCCTTCCACTATAAAAATAGAAGAGTATATTAAAAATAATTTTAATAAAAAAATCTCAGATGATGATAAAAATGTTATGGAGCAGATGATTACGGAAAAGGAAATAGAGGAAATTATAAACAGTTTAAAAGTAGGAAAGACCCCTGGAACAGATGGACTAGGCCCAGAGTATTATAAAGTATTTAAAAAGATCCTTATACCAAAATTAAAAGAGTTATTTAATAAGATATTAAAGGGAGAAGAAATCCCACTTTCATGGAGAGAATCACTTATAGTTTTAATACTGAAACCAGATAAAAACCCTGCAAACATGGATGCATATAGGCCAATATCATTGATAAATCAGGATGCTAAGATATTTACGGCAATAATGGCAAAAAGATTGAATAGTTTTATGTGGAAATATATTGAAAAAGACCAAAATGGATTTATACTTGGTAGGCAAATGTCTGATTTAATGAGGAGGGTACTTAATGTAATGAACTTGGCGAAAGAAAGTAATTCTAAGGCGGGAGTAATATCACTAGATATATTTAAAGCTTTTGATTCAGTGGAATGGGAGTCATTGAAGACATTAATTAAGTATTTAGGGTTTGGATCTAATTTCAATCATATAATTCACCAACTTTATTCTCAGAATACAGCTAAGGTTATAGTGAACGATGGTATCACTGAAACAATATACTTAGGTCGGGGCACTAGACAAGGTTGCCCCCTATCTCCAGTACTTTTTACAATGATAATTGAAATTTTGGCACAGATAATTAGAGAAGATAAACA